GGTGAGCTCGCTTTAAGAACAGTGCAGGTGAGCTCGCTTTAAGAACAGTGCAGGTGAGCTCGCTTTAAGAACAGTGCAGGTGAGCTCGCTTTAAGAACAGTGCAGGTGAGCTCGCTTTAAGAACAGTGCAGGTGAGCTCGCTTTAAGAACAGTGCAGGTGAGCTCGCTTTAAGAACAGTGCAGGTGAGCTCGCTTTAAGAACAGTGCAGGTGAGCTCGCTTTAAGAACAGTGCAGGTGAGCTCGCTTTAAGAACAGTGCAGGTGAGCTCGCTTTAAGAACAGTGCAGGTGAGCTCGCTTTAAGAACAGTGCAGGTGAGCTCGCTTTAAGAACAGTGCAGGTGAGCTCGCTTTAAGAACAGTGCAGGTGAGCTCTCTTTAAAAACAGTGCAGGTGAGCTCTCTTCAAGAACAGTGCAGGTGAGCTCGCTTTAAGAACAGTGCAGGTGAGCTCGCTTTAAGAACAGTGCAGGTGAGCTCGCTTTAAGAACAGTGCAGGTGAGCTCGCTTTAAGAACAGTGCAGGTGAGCTCGCTTTAAGAACAGTGCAGGTGAGCTCGCTTTAAGAACAGTGCAGGTGAGCTCGCTTTAAGAACAGTGCAGGTGAGCTCTCTTTAAAAACAGTGCAGGTGAGCTCTCTTTAAGAACAGTGCAGGTGAGCTCGCTTTAAGAACAGTGCAGGTGAGCTCGCTTTAAGAACAGTGCAGGTGAGCTCGCTTTAAGAACAGTGCAGGTGAGCTCGCTTTAAGAACAGTGCAGGTGAGCTCGCTTTAAGAACAGTGCAGGTGAGCTCGCTTTAAGAACAGTGCAGGTGAGCTCGCTTTAAGAACAGTGCAGGTGAGCTCGCTTTAAGAACAGTGCAGGTGAGCTCGCTTTAAGAACAGTGCAGGTGAGCTCGCTTTAAGAACAGTGCAGGTGAGCTCGCTTTAAGAACAGTGCAGGTGAGCTCGCTTTAAGAACAGTGCAGGTGAGCTCGCTTTAAGAACAGTGCAGGTGAGCTCGCTTTAAGAACAGTGCAGGTGAGCTCGCTTTAAGAACAGTGCAGGTGAGCTCGCTTTAAGAACAGTGCAGGTGAGCTCGCTTTAAGAACAGTGCAGGTGAGCTCGCTTTAAGAACAGTGCAGGTGAGCTCTCTTTAAAAACAGTGCAGGTGAGCTCTCTTTAAGAACAGTGCAGGTGAGCTCGCTTTAAGAACAGTGCAGGTGAGCTCTCTTTAAAAACAGTGCAGGTGAGCTCGCTTTAAGAACAGTGCAGGTGAGCTCGCTTTAAGAACAGTGCAGGTGAGCTCGCTTTAAGAACAGTGCAGGTGAGCTCGCTTTAAGAACAGTGCAGGTGAGCTCGCTTTAAGAACAGTGCAGGTGAGCTCGCTTTAAGAACAGTGCAGGTGAGCTCGCTTTAAGAACAGTGCAGGTGAGCTCGCTTTAAGAACAGTGCAGGTGAGCTCGCTTTAAGAACAGTGCAGGTGAGCTCGCTTTAAGAACAGTGCAGGTGAGCTCGCTTTAAGAACAGTGCAGGTGAGCTCGCTTTAAGAACAGTGCAGGTGAGCTCGCTTTAAGAACAGTGCAGGTGAGCTCGCTTTAAGAACAGTGCAGGTGAGCTCGCTTTAAGAACAGTGCAGGTGAGCTCGCTTTAAGAACAGTGCAGGTGAGCTCGCTTTAAGAACAGTGCAGGTGAGCTCTCTTTAAAAACAGTGCAGGTGAGCTCGCTTTAAGAACAGTGCAGGTGAGCTCGCTTTAAGAACAGTGCAGGTGAGCTCGCTTTAAGAACAGTGCAGGTGAGCTCGCTTTAAGAACAGTGCAGGTGAGCTCGCTTTAAGAACAGTGCAGGTGAGCTCGCTTTAAGAACAGTGCAGGTGAGCTCGCTTTAAGAACAGTGCAGGTGAGCTCGCTTTAAGAACAGTGCAGGTGAGCTCGCTTTAAGAACAGTGCAGGTGAGCTCGCTTTAAGAACAGTGCAGGTGAGCTCGCTTTAAGAACAGTGCAGGTGAGCTCGCTTTAAGAACAGTGCAGGTGAGCTCGCTTTAAGAACAGTGCAGGTGAGCTCGCTTTAAGAACAGTGCAGGTGAGCTCTCTTTAAAACAGTGCAGGTGAGCTCGCTTTAAGAACAGTGCAGGTGAGCTCGCTTTAAGAACAGTGCAGGTGAGCTCGCTTTAAGAACAGTGCAGGTGAGCTCGCTTTAAGAACAGTGCAGGTGAGCTCGCTTTAAGAACAGTGCAGGTGAGCTCGCTTTAAGAACAGTGCAGGTGAGCTCGCTTTAAGAACAGTGCAGGTGAGCTCGCTTTAAGAACAGTGCAGGTGAGCTCGCTTTAAGAACAGTGCAGGTGAGCTCGCTTTAAGAACAGTGCAGGTGAGCTCGCTTTAAGAACAGTGCAGGTGAGCTCGCTTTAAGAACAGTGCAGGTGAGCTCGCTTTAAGAACAGTGCAGGTGAGCTCGCTTTAAGAACAGTGCAGGTGAGCTCGCTTTAAGAACAGTGCAGGTGAGCTCGCTTTAAGAACAGTGCAGGTGAGCTCGCTTTAAGAACAGTGCAGGTGAGCTCGCTTTAAGAACAGTGCAGGTGAGCTCGCTTTAAGAACAGTGCAGGTGAGCTCGCTTTAAGAACAGTGCAGGTGAGCTCGCTTTAAGAACAGTGCAGGTGAGCTCGCTTTAAGAACAGTGCAGGTGAGCTCGCTTTAAGAACAGTGCAGGTGAGCTCGCTTTAAGAACAGTGCAGGTGAGCTCGCTTTAAGAACAGTGCAGGTGAGCTCGCTTTAAGAACAGTGCAGGTGAGCTCGCTTTAAGAACAGTGCAGGTGAGCTCGCTTTAAGAACAGTGCAGGTGAGCTCGCTTTAAGAACAGTGCAGGTGAGCTCTCTTTAAAACAGTGCAGGTGAGCTCTCTTTAAGAACAGTGCAGGTGAGCTCGCTTTAAGAACAGTGCAGGTGAGCTCGCTTTAAGAACAGTGCAGGTGAGCTCGCTTTAAGAACAGTGCAGGTGAGCTCGCTTTAAGAACAGTGCAGGTGAGCTCGCTTTAAGAACAGTGCAGGTGAGCTCGCTTTAAGAACAGTGCAGGTGAGCTCGCTTTAAGAACAGTGCAGGTGAGCTCGCTTTAAGAACAGTGCAGGTGAGCTCGCTTTAAGAACAGTGCAGGTGAGCTCGCTTTAAGAACAGTGCAGGTGAGCTCGCTTTAAGAACAGTGCAGGTGAGCTCGCTTTAAGAACAGTGCAGGTGAGCTCGCTTTAAGAACAGTGCAGGTGAGCTCGCTTTAAGAACAGTGCAGGTGAGCTCGCTTTAAGAACAGTGCAGGTGAGCTCGCTTTAAGAACAGTGCAGGTGAGCTCGCTTTAAGAACAGTGCAGGTGAGCTCGCTTTAAGAACAGTGCAGGTGAGCTCGCTTTAAGAACAGTGCAGGTGAGCTCGCTTTAAGAACAGTGCAGGTGAGCTCGCTTTAAGAACAGTGCAGGTGAGCTCGCTTTAAGAACAGTGCAGGTGAGCTCGCTTTAAGAACAGTGCAGGTGAGCTCGCTTTAAGAACAGTGCAGGTGAGCTCGCTTTAAGAACAGTGCAGGTGAGCTCGCTTTAAGAACAGTGCAGGTGAGCTCGCTTTAAGAACAGTGCAGGTGAGCTCTCTTTAAAAACAGTGCAGGTGAGCTCTCTTTAAGAACAGTGCAGGTGAGCTCGCTTTAAGAACAGTGCAGGTGAGCTCGCTTTAAGAACAGTGCAGGTGAGCTCGCTTTAAGAACAGTGCAGGTGAGCTCGCTTTAAGAACAGTGCAGGTGAGCTCGCTTTAAGAACAGTGCAGGTGAGCTCGCTTTAAGAACAGTGCAGGTGAGCTCGCTTTAAGAACAGTGCAGGTGAGCTCGCTTTAAGAACAGTGCAGGTGAGCTCGCTTTAAGAACAGTGCAGGTGAGCTCGCTTTAAGAACAGTGCAGGTGAGCTCGCTTTAAGAACAGTGCAGGTGAGCTCGCTTTAAGAACAGTGCAGGTGAGCTCGCTTTAAGAACAGTGCAGGTGAGCTCGCTTTAAGAACAGTGCAGGTGAGCTCGCTTTAAGAACAGTGCAGGTGAGCTCGCTTTAAGAACAGTGCAGGTGAGCTCGCTTTAAGAACAGTGCAGGTGAGCTCGCTTTAAGAACAGTGCAGGTGAGCTCGCTTTAAGAACAGTGCAGGTGAGCTCGCTTTAAGAACAGTGCAGGTGAGCTCGCTTTAAGAACAGTGCAGGTGAGCTCGCTTTAAGAACAGTGCAGGTGAGCTCGCTTTAAGAACAGTGCAGGTGAGCTCGCTTTAAGAACAGTGCAGGTGAGCTCGCTTTAAGAACAGTGCAGGTGAGCTCGCTTTAAGAACAGTGCAGGTGAGCTCGCTTTAAGAACAGTGCAGGTGAGCTCGCTTTAAGAACAGTGCAGGTGAGCTCGCTTTAAGAACAGTGCAGGTGAGCTCGCTTTAAGAACAGTGCAGGTGAGCTCGCTTTAAGAACAGTGCAGGTGAGCTCGCTTTAAGAACAGTGCAGGTGAGCTCGCTTTAAGAACAGTGCAGGTGAGCTCGCTTTAAGAACAGTGCAGGTGAGCTCGCTTTAAGAACAGTGCAGGTGAGCTCGCTTTAAGAACAGTGCAGGTGAGCTCGCTTTAAGAACAGTGCAGGTGAGCTCGCTTTAAGAACAGTGCAGGTGAGCTCGCTTTAAGAACAGTGCAGGTGAGCTCGCTTTAAGAACAGTGCAGGTGAGCTCGCTTTAAGAACAGTGCAGGTGAGCTGAGTGCTCTCGCTTTAAGAACAGTGCAGGTGAGCTCGCTTTAAGAACAGTGCAGGTGAGCTCGCTTTAAGAACAGTGCAGGTGAGAACAGTGCAGGTGAGCTCGCTTTAAGAACAGTGCAGGTGAGCTCAATAAGCTGCAAGAACCAGGTGAGCTCGTTACACGAACATATTTATCACTTGTTGTGACTTGCAGTGCAGGTGAGCTCACACTCATATCACTTGTTGTGACTTGCATCGCACCTCATATCATACCGTCGCTCCTCTCGCAACATCTTCTTCTCCTGCTCTCAAGTGCTCAAACCTGTTTCTGTATCTCCGCGCCTTGGCAAAGAAACAGAAATAGCCCCCTGTGTTGCATCTTGGCTGCTGCGGCCCCCAGTGTCGCACCTTGGCTGTTGCAGCCCTCTGTGTTGCATACCCCTCTGATTCAGCTCACACAAACCCAGAACCCGCCCCCCTCCTCCTCCACAAACCCGGAACCCACCCCCCTCCTCCTCCACAAACCCGGAACCCACCCCCTCCTCCTCCACAAACCCAGAACCCACCCCCCTCCTCCTCCACAAACCCGGAACCCACCCCCCTCCTCCTCCACAAACCCAGAACCCACCCCCCTCCTCCTCCACAAACCCAGAACCCACCCCCCTCCTCCTCCACAAACCCGGAACCCACCCCCCTCCTCCTCCACAAACCCAGAACCCACCCCCCCCTCCTCCACAAACCCAGAACCCACCCCCCTCCTCCACAAACCCAGAACCCACCCCCCTCCTCCTCCACAAACCCAGAACCCACCCCCCTCCTCCACAAACCCAGAACCCACCCCCCTCCTCCTCCACAAACCCACCGCTGTAACTGCTTTTCTTAGTCGACTCAATTTTCACTGCTGTGATTGCGCTTGTTAGTTAACTCAAAAAACCCACCACTACCACAGCTGCTCTCTCGGGAGCTTCATCTGCTCATGCGGGCTGCTGTGTGGGTCTGCTTACATTGCATTGAAACGAGTTTTCTTTTGAGTCGACTCAAAAGTCAATTCTTGGGAGCTTCATCTGCTCATGTGGGCTGCTTTGTGGGTCTGTTTACATTGAATTGAAACGCCCTAATATTGTTCCCCCTTCCACTCCCCCCTTTCCACTCGCGTTCCCCCCTCACGCTCTCCCTTTTCCGTCTCCCCAACCCCACTGTCTTTCAGCTGCTGCACAAGCAGCTTTATCCAATCACGTTGGCTGCTGCTGACCTTTCTAGAGGTGCCGCAACCCCCCCCCCCCTCCCTGCTCAAAATCATCCGCCCTTCCTCTCTTTCTCCTCCCCAAACCCACTCTCGTTCAGCTGCTGCATGAGGAGCCTCGTCCAATCACGTGGGCTGCTGCTGGCCTTTCGTAGAGGTGCCTCACCCCCTCCTCCCCCCCCCTCCGCCTTCTTAACCTTTCTCTCTTTCTCCTCCCCGAACCCACTTTCGTTCAGCTGCTGCATGAGGAGCTTCGACCAATCACGTGGGCTGCTGCCGACCCCTCTGTCCCTCAGCTGGACACAGGCGTCCAGGTGAGTCTCTGCACGCCCCTTTGCAGTGCCTTGACATGGTCTGCAGAGTTGGAGCAATGGATTAACAATCACACATGTTTCACATAACTTCATGATTCTTTCTCGTAGAACTGCTTGTGTTCTTTATGTTTCATTATTCCTACAGTTTGTGCTGTGCTCGCCTCATGTGTATCACGTCGTATTTGCCATTGCTTTATTGATGTGTTCTTCTGGCCCCTTGCAGGCCATCCTCGATAAGCTCGTATGCATCAAGGCTACAGTGTTCCTCCATGCACCAATGGCTTGCACGGGTGCTCATGACCCACATGGGTCAAGCTTTACAGAAGAAATATGTGCTAGTAGAGAAGTGGGAGATAAGGAGTCCGGTAGTGAAGGGGATGGTTTGCTACGCAACAGATGCACGACTTGGGATGTGGATGAAGTCTAATTTCCGTTTCATACCTAAGTTTCTGTTCTGTCTAAAGAGCAGCACTGTACTCATTCTCTTCATTTCAACCTCCGCTATAGAACGTCGAAACCTCTGACAGCCCAGCTTGATGGAAAGCGACGCGACCCCCGCAGCCACGATAATTCCAAGGGCCAGCTCGACCGAATATTCCCGAGAGCTGTCACAAAGGTACCTCTAGTTAGAACTATGAGCCTCCCATGCCTGGGGTTGTGGTTATGCCTCACGTTGGAGTCGGAGTTGCCTCGCCTCTTCGAGTCCAAGTCGCAGAAAGTGCTCCTCCGCTTAGGATCTGTTGATGCAGAACGGCGGCGGTTCACGTAACGCGGATCGGCTAGTGCAGAACGGCCGACGGAGAACGGATAATCCTTCGAGCAGACGTAAACCATCCTGATTCAGTGTGGCGTTTCATCGCTTGTGCCTGAAGGGAAGCGGAGAGAAAAAAGTAACACTGCCACTGTTTTGATATCTCCGCCAGTGGCTGCGTTCTTTTGTAGCCGACTGTAAAAAAGTTTCGACATTTGTGCCTGACGAGCAGCCACGCAAACCATGGCAATGGCAACTCCCGATACCTCCGCCACCGCCGGCGCCGCCACCGGGCCGTCGACGGCTGTCCTCGTGGCCGGCGGAACCGCAGCAGCAGCAGCCGCGTTGTATCTTGTATTGAAGCCTCTATACGAGAGGTTCCTGAGACTCGATGTGCCGTTCGGACCCGATACGCATCCCGTCGTCGCGCTGCTGCTTAAACGTCGCCCAGTCCACGCCAGCCATAGGTATGATGCCTATTGGCGCGAGTAGTAGAAAACCTCAAAGGGGGGGTTCCATATTGGCCTTCGCCTTTCCATCTCTCTCCCTGTCGTCATCTCTCCCCTCCCTTCAGCTGGTGTACGGGCGTTGCCAGAAAGCACCCTGCTCGCGTATCGCAGCGTGGCTGGCGTTGATGCTGCTGGCAGTGCACCAACCTTCACACTTCTTTATGCTCTCCCATCGTACCGCCCATTCCCTCTGAGTGTGCCTTACCGTCTCCCTCCCCGTGCTTTCATCGATTCCCTCCCAGGGGCGTTGCACGGGCATGGCCAGTGAACACCATGCTCGCATACCGCAGCGCTATTGGCGTTGATGCTGCTGGCAGTGCGCCAATCATCACAATTACTTATGCTTCCCCCACTCTCTCCCTTGCGTTCACCTTTCCCCTCCCAGAGGCGTTGCACGGGCATGGCCAGAGAACACCATGCTCGCATACTGCAGCGCTATTGGCGTTGATGCTGCTGGCATCGCGCCAACCATCACAATTACTTATGCTTCCCCACTCTCTCCCTTTCCTTCACCTTTCCCCTCCCAGGGGTGGTGCACGGGCATGGCCAGAGAACACCATGCTTGCTTATCGTAGCGCTGTTGGCGTTGACCCGGCTCGTCGTGATACCGACGCCAATTCTACACACTTAGCTGCTCCTGCCGCTTCTGCTGCTCCTGCCGCTTCTGATGCTCCTGCCGCTTCTGCTGCTCCTGCCGCTTCTGATGCTCCTGACGCTTCTGATGCTCCTGCCGCTCCTCATTCTCCCCTTGCTCTTCCTGATGCTGCTGCTGCTGATGCTGCCGCGGCTCTTCATACTCCTGATGCTCCTTCTGGGGTTGCTGCCCCTACTGACCCACTGCTGCGCACGCAGCTATTGGAGGTGGACGTGCAGCTGACCAAAGATGAGCACCTGGTGAGACGCTTTTGCTTGTGATTGTGCTTGATCTGCCGACGCTGCTGCAGCTTCGGTGGCTACTGCTGGGGTTGCTGCCCGCCACTGCTGCACACGTAGCTACTGGAAGTGGACTTGCAACTGTCCAAGAACCAACACTTGGTGAGACGCGTTTTCTTGAGTTTGTGCCTGTGCTTGATCTTCCGTTGCTGCTGCAGCGGCTGTGTCTACTGCTGGGAATGTTTCTCTGCTCCTGCTGCACCACTGCTGCGCGCATGCAAGTATTGGAAGTGGGCGTGCAACAGAACAGGGACCAACAACTGGTGAGACACGGTTTCTTAGGAGCCTCAAATGCAGCTGGTGGGACTCTGTTGCTATCCTTGTGCTGCTGCCTCAGGTGGTGCTGCTGCCTCAGGTGGTGCTGCTGCCTCAGGTGGTGCTGCTGCCTCAGGTGGTGCTGCTGCTCAGGTGGTGCTGCTTCTTCAGGTGATGCTGCTGCTTCAGGTGCTGCTGCTGCTACTGGGATGGTGCTGCTGCTGCAGTGGCTGATGCTGGTGCTACTGGGGCTTGGGCTGGGGTTTGTACAAAAAGTGGGTGTGCTGGTGGCGCCGCTGGTGCCTCAGGAATGGAAAAACCTGTTGAGAATTGTCTCTTGACTTTGTTGACTTTATTTGACTGCGGCATGTGGCTGGCAGGTGTTGATTCATAACGTGACAGTGGACAAGCTTGGAGGCGATTCAAAGCTTGAAGGCGGTTGACTTGACTTCGTTTGACTCTGTTGACTTGGTTTGAATGGGGCGTGTGGCTGGACGGCAGGTGTTGATTCACAACGTGACAGTGGACGAGACAACGGATGGCAGAGGGCTTGTGGAGAGCTACACCCTGGAGGAGCTCAGGTGAGAGATCAGGTGAGAGATCAGGTGAGAGATCAGGTGAAAGCTCAGGTGAGAGATCTGGTGAGATGTCAGCTAAGAACTCAGGTGAGAGCACAGGTGAGGTCAGGTGGGAAACCAGGTGAGAGATTGGGTGAAAGATCAGGTGATGTTTCTGCAACTAGGTGAAATGACCTCAGGTGAGATGGAAGTGTGCAGTGGTGAATGGGCGTTCAGTGTGCGTCAGAGCAAGGCGACGCCATTGAAGTCACTCTTGAGAATTCTTAGAAGCGACCTCAGGTGGATGGAACTGTGCAGTGTGCAGCAGTGAATGGGCGTTCAGTGGGCATCACAGCAAGGCGACGCCATTCTCGTGATTATGCCACATGGTGCAACTTCTGATTCGCCCCCATATCCTCTATGCCACGTGGCTGCAGGTCATTGGATGCTGGCTATCGTTTCACCCGAGATGGTGGCAAAACTTTTCCCTACAGAGGAAAGGGACTGCAAATGCCAACACTTAGGGAGGTAAGGGTGCAAATACCAACACTTCTGGACATATCGTTGCAAATTCCTGACACTTACAGATGGATTTTAGGTAAGGGAGGTTTTAGATGCCAGCTGTCACACTTCCAAGTTCTGACGCTTGAGGAGACGCATTGGGGGAAATACAGCCACCCACTGCCCTCCCCTCGCCCGCTGCCATCCCCCGAGCCCCTCATCCTCACCCCCTTACCAGGTGTTTTTGGGAGAGCTTGCTTTGCAATCGTGCCCGCTTTGCAATCGTGCCCGCTTTGCAATCGTGCCCGTTTTGCAATCGTGCCCGCTTTGCAATCGTGCCCGTTTTGCAATCGTGCCCGTTTTGCAATCGTGCCCGCTTTGCAATCGTGCCCGTTTTGCAATCGTGCCCGTTTTGCATGCTATTAGGACCTTGTCATGTGTTGTGTTCCTCTCCCCCTCTTCTCTCCACTCCCCTTCTCCCGTATCTCCACTCTCTTCACCCGCTCTCCCCTGCCACCTGTTTGACGAGTTCACACACTACAAGGACCTTGTGATCTACCTCGACTTCAAGTCACACTGCGTTGACTCAATACTCTCCCTCCCCCCCCCTCTCTCCCTCCCCCCCCTCTCTCTCCCTCCCCCCCCTCTCTCTCCCTCCCCCCCCTCTCTCTCCCTCCCCCCCCTCTCTCCCCCCCCCCCTCTCTCTCCCCCCCCCCCCTCTCTCTCCCTCCCCCCCCTCTCTCTCCCTCCCCCCCTCTCTCTCCCTCCCCCCCCTCTCTCTCCCTCCCCTCCCCCTCTTCCCCCCCCCCCCCCCCCCCCCCCCCCGCTCTCCCCTGCCAGCTGTTTGACGAGTTCACACGCTACAAGGACCTAGTCATTTACCTCGACTTCAAGTCACCCGCAGCTGTCGCTCCCACGCTTCAGGTGATGCCAACTGAACTTGTCCTCTGCGGAGTATTCTGAGACTTTTTTTCGATTCTGCGGAGTATTTTGTGTGGAGCACTTTTAGTCGTTTCTGTGTAAACTGCCTTCCCCACATGCTTTCTTGTGTCAGCAATTCCCTTCGTCTTCCTTCCATCCCAGATTCCGTGCTCTGTAAATCCATGAAATATGCCTGCTTTATATCTTTCTATTTTGCTTTCCTAGCTGAACTGAATTAGCCAAGTGTGCATGCTGACACGTGTGCATGTGCTGACACGTGTGCATGTGCTGACACGTGTGCATGTGCTGACACGTGTGCATGCTGACACGTGTGCATGTGCTGGCATGTGGGTCAGATGGTTCAAGATTACGGTCTAGAACAACGCATTATCATGGGAGCAGTGCCCCCAGAAGCTAACAGAGAGGTGTGTGCGCTCACGCATGTGGTCCCATAAGGTATGCATGTGCGTGTGTACGGTGCATCTCATGCATGTGCGTGGTGTGCATTGCATCACATGTATGTGCGTGGTGTGCATTGCGTCACATGAATGGGCATGTGCTCCCATGGGGTATGCATGTGCATGTGTGCATCATGATGGGAGCATTTCCTCCAGATACATACGTATGCATATGCGTGTTTGCAGTGCATCAAATGCATGGGCATGTGTTAGCATGTGCATGTGTGTGTGCATGTGCATGTGTGTGTGCATGTGCATGTGTGTGTGCATGTGCATGTGTGTGTGCATGTGTGTGTGCATGTGCATGTGCATGTGCATGTGCATGTGTGTGTGCATGTGCATGTGTGTGTGCATGTGCATGTGTGTGTGCATGTGCATGTGTGTGTGCATGTGCATGTGTGTGTGCATGTGCATGTGTGTGTGCATGTGCATGTGTGTGTGCATGTGTGTGTGCATGTGCATGTGCGTGTGCATGTGCATGTGTGTGTGCATGTGCATGTGCATGTGTGTGTGCATGTGCATGTGTGTGTGCATGTGCATGTGTGTGTGCATGTGCATGTGTGTGTGCATGTGGACTGTGGATGTGTGTGTGTGTGCATGTGCATGTGTGTGTGGATGTGCATGTGTGTGTGCATGTGGACTGTGGATGTGTGTGTGTGTGCATGTGCATGTGTGTGTGGATGTGCATGTGTGTGTGCATGTGTGTGTGCATGTGCATGTGCGTGTGCATGTGCATGTGCGTGTGCATGTGCATGTGCGTGTGCATGTGCATGTGCGTGTGCATGTGCATGTGTGTGTGCATGTGCATGTGCATGTGCATGTGTGTGTGCATGTGCATGTGCATGTGCATGTGCATGTGTGTGTGCATGTGCATGTGTGTGTGCATGTGCATGTGTGTGTGCATGTGCATGTGCATGTGCATGTGTGTGTGCATGTGCATGTGCATGTGCATGTGCATGTGTGTGTGCATGTGCATGTGTCATGCCATTCGTCCATGTGTCGTCCTCACCTCCTAAGTGTGAATCGTGATATCATGTCACATCATGCTATTCCTGAGCAGGTACTTAGACTGAAGCCAAAGTGTGTGCCAGCCACACCTGACATTAACTCCATGATACTTATGTAAGAGGCTCTCTTAAACCTGAAATTATCCTTCTTTAAGTTGAAAATAAGGATTGCTTATGCGCTTGTAGTGCTATCTAGCTGTCGCTGATGCCTTTCAGCTGACCCGTGCCGGATAAACATGCCACGTATGTTTCGGCCTGCATGCTTTGCCACATATGCTTTGCCACGTATGCTTTGCCACGTATGCTTTGCCACGTATGCTTTGCCACGTATGCTTTGCCACGTATGCTTTGCCACGTATGCTTTGCCACGTATGCTTTGCAACGTATGCTTTGCCATGTATGCTTTGCCATGTATCCTTTGCCATGTTGACAATATCTCTACTCCGTGACAAGCACCTGCTGCTTGTTCTTTCGCCCGTCCCTGAATCCTTCTTGTTGACATGCTTCTGCTTCTTCCACTCAAGCCCTTGTTCTGCTGCCTCAGAAATGTGACCTTGTTCTTCTACTGGAGTGCTCTATTGCCTTGAGTAAAAGGTCCCAGAAGCGCTCCTTGTGCTCGGGTACTGACATATGTGACCTTGTACTCCTACTGGAGTGCTCTATTGCCGTTTTTAACTTTCCCTTTCTTCCTTGCTTCCCTGTCCCCCTCCCAGGTACTTCTGCTATCTGGTCGGCATCCTTTGGCTTATTCCCATGCGTCATGAGATCGTGGGAACAACAGCGTACAGATGGGGATACAAGGTAATGTCTACATAAAACAGGTATTATCGAGTGTGTCTAACCCTCCTTCCCGCCTTCCAATCTCAAACATTGGAAATGTGTTTCAACCATGGACGAACATAGACGTGAAGGGAAGGGAAGCAGGTGTTCATCTGCCATTTTATCAGCAGTGCCGTTCCTTCACTCTCGATCATCCTCACCCTTGCATGTCAGTTTCGCAAGCACAGTCAGCTGCTCCTCGTTACCCATCCGCTGCTCCTCAGCCGGTGTTCCTCTAGCTGCCTTACCACCTGACTGTCAACTTCTGACATTCTCTGGCTTACAGCCCCTCAACCTCTCACATCACATGCTCCTCTCCTTCCTCTCGGCCCTCCCTGTGTCAGATTCTCAACCGTGACTTTGTTGCGGCCTTCCAGCAACGAGGGGTATGCTAAATCACTTGTGAGAATGATTTTAGCGAGTGCCCTGAGTTGAGAACTCTTTTGAGTCTTCTTTTGAGAGTTGTCAAGAGGTATGCCTGGGCTGCGTCAGGTTCGCAACCATGACCTCGTTTCAGCGATCCATCAGCGAGCAGTATGTGTCAGTACGTGGCGTTCTCCGCTTGATTCAATACACCCTTTCATATGGTTCTCCATATGTCAGTACTTGAGCACAAGTCAGCTCTCCTTCAGATCCCTCATTTGTCTCCCTTTCCTGCTTTACAACCCCTCGTCCTTTCTCTCCCTCACTCTCCCGCGCTCTCCCTCGCTCTCCCTCGCTCTCCCTCGCTCTCCCTCGCTCTCCCTCACTCTCGCTCATTCTCCCTCTCTCTCCCACTCTCTCCCTAACTCTCCCTCTCTCCTACTCTCTCCCTAACTCTCCCTCTCTCCTACTCTCTCCCTAACTCTCCCTCTCTCTCCCACTCTCTCCCTAACTCTCCCTCTCTCTCCCACTCTCTCCCTAACTCTCCCTCTCTCTCCCACTCTCTCCCTAACTCTCCCTCTCTCTCCTACTCTCTCCCTAACTCTCCCTCTCTCTCCTACTCTCTCCCTAACTCTCCCTCTCTCTCCTACTCTCTCCCTTACTCTCCCTCTCTCTCCTACTCTCTCCCTAACTCTCCCTCCCGCCCTCTCTCTCTCCATTCAATCCCATCAACCCATGCAGCGATGGGTGTCTGTCTTTGGCGATTACCTCGACCACAGGGAGGGGCAGGTGGGGCATGGGGGAGGTGGGGCATGGGAGGGGCAGGTAAGGCGTAGGGGAGGTGGGGAAGGGAGCGAAGGATGGGGTGGCTGGGGGGGTGGCCCCATGTCACTCATGCAGTGATGGGCATCGGAGTTTGGGAATTACCTCGACCACAGGAAGGGACAGGTGGGACGGGGAATGGAAGGGGTGGTTGGGGGATGTGAGGAAGGTGGGCCTGTGTTCTGAAGCAAGGTGTCAGCATGTGCATGTGCATGTGCATGTGCATGTGCATGTGGATGTGGATGTGACATGCTCTTCTCTGACCATCCTGACATGCTCAGTTGGTTTCTTTTCACCTCTCAAGAATGACTACCACCGCTCCCAATACCTTTGTACCGTGCCCATGTAATGCCCTTGCAGGAGGACTGCATGGCTGTGTGGTGTGACAGGCTCTTCTCTGACCGCCCTGACAGCTCTCAGTTGGTTTACTAGAGCTCTCAAGTCCCACCACCGCTCTCTATCATTCTGTACCGTGCCCATGAGTTGTGCTTGCAGGAGGACTGCATGGCCATGGGGTGTGACATGCTCTTCTCTGACCGCCCTGACATTCTCCATGATACCCTGGCCAGCCAGCAGTGATCATGACACGCTTGTTCGCACCATGTTGTACATAGTGAAAATGTCAAATGGACCTTGGGGTCTTAAGAGTAGATTCTGAAGGCACGATGGTATATACGGTAGAAAAAATGTCAGTTGGACCTTGGTCACTCGTGGATGTGGTCTAGCTGACAAGTACGTGATGTTATCTCTGTACTGTGCAAAGTCATCAAAAGCAGCGGGTGCAAACTCCTAGAATTTAGAAATAAATGAAGGGGACGGGATAGGCTGTGTTGCTGCACAAGGCAGTCTCTGGTTCAATATACTGCATGCATTCATAACGCTACACTGTTAGTACATCGTGGCCTGAACACAGTTGGTATTGATTATACACACTACAGAGCACATGCAAATGCGCATGTGTACGCCTTATGGAAATTTTACCAGTCCATGGGTCAGGCCTGGTGTGTCTGTGCCTGGTGTGTCTGGCTGGTGTGTGGTTGGTGGTCGTCCATACAAAATCTCACAGCTCACACCGCCACCACCTCTCTTCTCTTCTGCACCACACAGAATGACCACAGGAATGCCAGAGGGAGGGGAAGGTGTGGGCGGAGATTTGGCTGTGTTCAAACAAATGAGCGTGTGGAAGAGCACTGGAAGAGCACTGGAAGAGCATTGGGGAAAGCTAGTCAGGGGGTTGTGGCGTTCATGTGGCAACACAGCCGGTATTTATTCCAGCCCCCTGTGTGAGACAGAGATCACTATTCAGAACGGCCTTCATGTTACCCAAACCACTTTTGAGTCGACTCAAAAGTCACTTCAAGCCTCCTGTGTGAGACAGACACCGAGACAGACACTGAGATAGACACTGAGATAGACACTGAGACAGACACTGAAATAGACACTGAGACAGACACTGAGATAGACACAGAGACAGACACAGAGATAGACACAGAGATAGACACCGAGACAGACACTGAGATAGACATCATTACTTCGTCTGAGACAGCACTTCTCAGGATGGCCTACGTGTTACTCAGACCACAGCAGTGTGACTTTTGAGGCGCCTCAACACTCAAGGGGCAACACAGCTTGTACTGATTCAAGCACTCCATGAGACAGACATTGAGACACACATGACTATTTCGTTCTGAGACATCACTACTCGTAATGGCCTTCATGTTACCTAGACCATGGCACTGTGTGGTCCGGGGTCCAGGTAACGCAACGCACCTGTCATCCATTGCTGCGCCAATGCATACATGGTGCTGCATGCTACCACATGGTACCGCTTGTTACCACATGGTACTGCATGCTACCGAAAGGTGCCGCATTATATATACCAGTAGCGCATCTGGCAGTGCCCCAACGCACTTGGCACCACATAATACTGTACCACAAAGAACCGCATTTTACCGCACTGTACCACTGACACACCTGATACTGCTCGAGGCCCGTGCGGGAGAAGGCATCGATCACCCGGCATGCCAGCTCTGCTCGTTCCACATGCTAACACATAACATCACAATGTACCGCATTTTACCGCACTGTACCGCGCTGCGCACCTGATACTGCTCGAGGCCAGTGCGGGAGAAGGCATCGATGACCCGGCATGCCAGCTCTGCTCGTTCCACATGCTACCACATAGCATCACAATGTACTGCATTTTACCGCACTGTACCGCACTGCGCACCTGATACTGCTCGAGGCCAGTGCGGGAGAAGGCATCGATGACCCGACACGCCAGCTCTGCTCTCTCCAACGCCTCCACGTACTTGAGGGCTAACGGGTTGAAATTGGGTGATGTGCGGTGGTGAGGAGTGGAGAGCGGTGAGGAGCAGTGCTGTGCAGTGAAGGGCAGTGATGTGGACTGAATGACATGATGGCAGGTGATGTGCAGATGATGAGGAGTGACATGCAGGTGATATGGAGTGATGCCTCATGCCTCCTATTTGCTGCATCCCCATGGCCATACTATACTACGCCCATGCCCATGCTCATACCCATACCCATACACATGCCCAAGGCCATCCCGAAACCCATGCCAACATGCCACACCATTACCTCTGATAAGGCCTGTGGCTTCACAAGTGATCATCCCATCCACTACCACTTGTCTTGAGACATCAGTAGTACCCATGCCCATGCCACACCACTACCCCTGATCCGCCCTGTGGCTTCACAAGTGATCATCCCATCCACTACCACTTGTCTTGAGACATCAGTAGTACCCATGCCCATGCCGCACCACTACCCCTGATCCGCCCTGTGGCTTCACAAGTGATCATCCCATCCACTACCACTTGTCTTGAGACATCAGTAGTACCCATGCCCATGCCGCACCACTACCCCTGATCCGCCCTGTGGCTTCACAAGTGATCATCCCATCCACTACCACTTGTCTTGAGACATCAGTAGTACCCATGCCCATGCCGCACCACTACCCCTGATCCGCCCTGTGGCTTCACAAGTGATCATCCCATCCACTACCACTTGTCTTGAGACATCAGTAGTACCCATGCCCATGCCGCACCACTACCCCTGATCCGCCCTGTGGCTTCACAAGTGATCATCCCATCCACTACCACTTGTCTTGAGACATCAGTAGTACCCATGCCCATGCCGCACCACTACCCCTGATCCGCCCTGTGGCTTCACAAGTGATCATCCCATCCACTACCACTTGTCTTGAGACATCAGTAGTACCCATGCCCATGCCGCACCACTACCCCTGATCCGCCCTGTGGCTTCACAAGTGATCATCCCATCCACTACCACTTGTCTTGAGACATCAGTAGTACCCATGCCCATGCCGCACCACTACCCCTGATCCGCCCTGTGGCTTCACAAGTGATCATCCCATCCACTACCACTTGTCTTGAGACATCAGTAGTACCCATGCCCATGCCGCACCACTACCCCTGATCCGCCCTGTGGCTTCACAAGTGATCATCCCATCCACTACCACTTGTCTTGAGACATCAGTAGTACCCATGCCCATGCCTGATCCGCCCTGTGGCTTCACAAGTGATCATCCCATCCACTACCACTTGTCTTGAGACATCAGTAGTACCCATGCCCATGCCACACCACTACCCCTGATCCGCCCTGTGGCTTCACAAGTGATCATCCCATCCACTACCACTTGTCTTGAGACATCAGTAGTACCCATGCCCATGCCGCACCACTACCCCTGATCCGCCCTGTGGCTTCACAAGTGATCATCCCATCCACTACCACTTGTCTTGAGACATCAGTAGTACCCATGCCCATGCCACACCACTACCCCTGATCCGCCCTGTGGCTTCACAAGTGATCATCCCATCCACTACCACTTGTCTTGAGACATCAGTAGTACCCATGCCCATGCCGCACCACTACCCCTGATCCGCCCTGTGGCTTCACAAGTGATCATCCCATCCACTACCACTTGTCTTGAGACATCAGTAGTACCCATGCCCATGCCGCACCACTACCCCTGATCCGCCCTGTGGCTTCACAAGTGATCATCCCATCCACTACCACTTGTCTTGAGACATCAGTAGTACCCATGCCCATGCCACACCACTACCCCTGATCCGCCCTGTGGCTTCACAAGTGATCATCCCATCCACTACCACTTGTCTTGAGACATCAGTAGTACCCATGCCCATGCCACACCACTACCCCTGATCCGCCCTGTGGCTTCACAAGTGATCATCCCATCCACTACCACTTGTCTTGAGACATCAGTAGTACCCATGCCCATGCCACACCACTACCCCTGATCCGCCCTGTGGCTTCACAAGTGATCATCCCATCCACTACCACTTGTCTTGAGACATCAGTAGTACCCATGCCCATGCCACACCACTACCCCTGATCCGCCCTGTGGCTTCACAAGTGATCATCCCATCCACTACCACTTGTCTTGAGACATCAGTAGTACCCATGCCCATGCCACACCACTACCCCTGATCCGCCCTGTGGCTTCACAAGTGATCATCCCATCCACTACCACTTGTCTTGAGACATCAGTAGTACCCATGCCCATGCCGCACCACTACCCCTGATCCGCCCTGTGGCTTCACAAGTGATCATCCCATCCACTACCACTTGTCTTGAGACATCAGTAGTACCCATGCCCATGCCGCACCACTACCCCTGATCCGCCCTGTGGCTTCACAAGTGATCATCCCATCCACTACCACTTGTCTTGAGACATCAGTAGTACCCATGCCCATGCCGCACCACTACCCCTGATCCGCCCTGTGGCTTCACAAGTGATCATCCCATCCACTACCACTTGTCTTGAGACATCAGTAGTACCCATGCCCATGCCGCACCACTACCCCTGATCCGCCCTGTGGCTTCACAAGTGATCATCCCATCCACTACCACTTGTCTTGAGACATCAGTAGTACCCATGCCCATGCCGCACCACTACCCCTGATCCGCCCTGTGGCTTCACAAGTGATCATCCCATCCACTACCACTTGTCTTGAGACATCAGTAGTACCCATGCCCATGCCACACCACTACCCCTGATCCGCCCTGTGGCTTCACAAGTGATCATCCCATCCACTACCACTTGTCTTGAGACATCAGTAGTACCCATGCCCATGCCGCACCACTACCCCTGATCCGCCCTGTGGCTTCACAAGTGATCATCCCATCCACTACCACTTGTCTTGAGACATCAGTAGTACCCATGCCCATGCCGCACCACTACCCCTGATCCGCCCTGTGGCTTCACAAGTGATCATCCCATCCACTACCACTTGTCTTGAGACATCAGTAGTACCCATGCCCATGCCGCACCACTACCCCTGATCCGCCCTGTGGCTTCACAAGTGATCATCCCATCCACTACCACTTGTCTTGAGACATCAGTAGTACCCATGCCCATGCCGCACCACTACCCCTGATCCGCCCTGTGGCTTCACAAGTGATCATCCCATCCACTACCACTTGTCTTGAGACATCAGTAGTACCCATGCCCATGCCACACCACTACCCCTGATCCGCCCTGTGGCTTCACAAGTGATCATCCCATCCACTACCACTTGTCTTGAGACATCAGTAGTACCCATGCCCATGCCACACCACTACCCCTGATCCGCCCTGTGGCTTCACAAGTGATCATCCCATCCACTACCACTTGTCTTGAGACATCAGTAGTACCCATGCCCATGCCACACCACTACCCCTGATCCGCCCTGTGGCTTCACAAGTGATCATCCCATCCACTACCACTTGTCTTGAGACATCAGTAGTACCCATGCCCATGCCGCACCACTACCCCTGATCCGCCCTGTGGCTTCACAAGTGATCATCCCATCCACTACCACTTGTCTTGAGACATCAGTAGTACCCATGCCCATGCCGCACCACTACCCCTGATCCGCCCTGTGGCTTCACAAGTGATCATCCCATCCACTACCACTTGTCTTGAGACATCAGTAGTACCCATGCCCATGCCGCACCACTACCCCTGATCCGCCCTGTGGCTTCACAAGTGATCATCCCATCCACTACCACTTGTCTTGAGACATCAGTAGTACCCATGCCCATGCCGCACCACTACCCCTGATCCGCCCTGTGGCTTCACAAGTGATCATCCCATCCACTACCACTTGTCTTGAGACATCAGTAGTACCCATGCCCATGCCGCACCACTACCCCTGATCCGCCCTGTGGCTTCACAAGTGATCATCCCATCCACTACCACTTGTCTTGAGACATCAGTAGTACCCATGCCCATGCCGCACCACTACCCCTGATCCGCCCTGTGGCTTCACAAGTGATCATCCCATCCACTACCACTTGTCTTGAGGTAGCAGTAGTACCCATGCCCATGCCGCACCACTACCCCTGATCCGCCCTGTGGCTTCACAAGTGATCATCCCATCCACTACCACTTGTCTTGAGACATCAGTAGTACCCATGCCCATGCCGCACCACTACCCCTGATCCGCCCTGTGGCTTCACAAGTGATCATCCCATCCACTACCACTTGTCTTGAGACATCAGTAGTACCCATGCCCATGCCACACCACTACCCCTGATCCGCCCTGTGGCTTCACAAGTGATCATCCCATCCACTACCACTTGTCTTGAGACATCAGTAGTACCCATGCCCATGCCACACCACTACCCCTGATCCGCCCTGTGGCTTCACAAGTGATCATCCCATCCACTACCACTTGTCTTGAGACATCAGTAGTACCCATGCCCATGCCACACCACTACCCCTGATCCGCCCTGTGGCTTCACAAGTGATCATCCCATCCACTACCACTTGTCTTGAGACATCAGTAGTACCCATGCCCATGCCACACCACTACCCCTGATCCGCCCTGTGGCTTCACAAGTGATCATCCCATCCACTACCACTTGTCTTGAGACATCAGTAGTACCCATGCCCATGCCACACCACTACCCCTGATCCGCCCTGTGGCTTCACAAGTGATCATCCCATCCACTACCACTTGTCTTGAGACATCAGTAGTACCCATGCCCATGCCGCACCACTACCCCTGATCCGCCCTGTGGCTTCACAAGTGATCATCCCATCCACTACCACTTGTCTTGAGACATCAGTAGTACCCATGCCCATGCCACACCACTACCCCTGATCCGCCCTGTGGCTTCACAAGTGATCATCCCATCCACTACCACTTGTCTTGAGACATCAGTAGTACCCATGCCCATGCCGCACCACTACCCCTGATCCGCCCTGTGGCTTCACAAGTGATCATCCCATCCACTACCACTTGTCTTGAGACATCAGTAGTACCCAT